CCTCTAGACATCTCTGCTCATTTCTTTATTACATTTAAGCTACATATTACTACCTGTGTGCCACCAATTCCTCTACCAGTTACTTTTAGGCAAAACTTATGCTCCCTTTCACCCTTCCATCTTTCCTCTGTAGTGTCATCCTCTCTTCCCTCACCCACCCATTTCTCATCTCGGGATGTAAATACAGCAACTGACACATTATGATCCACATTAACTTCTTGTCAAGACAATATCTGTCTAGACAGGCCAGTGCATACTACCCCTTCTAACCTAAAAAGTTGCCCCATGTATCATCATCTTAACTGTATTTTTGCTGAGCAGTTTTGTGTGGCTCACCAATGTACTAGATTTTATCTAATACAAAACATTAAGTAGGCTTGACCAAAATGTTATACCTGAAGACAAAAGGGCTAGCAATCTACAAGACGCTCCTGAGGAATGCTGTTCCTTTGTTATTCTAATGGAATGGACCATTTGGTTCACACCTTTATAGACACAGTTACATTATTTCTTTCACAGAATGACCAACTGAACTTTAACCAATTAGGTTTCAATCTCGGCATGGTTGAAGGAACATCACCTGCAGCTCAACCTGGCAAAGACTGAGCTTCTCGTTTTCCATGCCACTCTGACTCTACAGCATGATTTTATCATCCTGCTAGGTTCATCAACAATTATTCTTTGGTGACCAGCTGACCTTCAAGAACCATATTGTAAAGACAGCTTGATCATGCAGGTTTGCATTGCACAACATCAGGAGGATCGGTTCTTCCAAACAGAGCATGCTGCACAACTTCTTGCCCAGGCCCTTGTAATTTCTAGGCTGGATTATTGCAATGCTCTTCTAGCTGGACTTCCATCATGTGCAATCAAACCTCGACAAATGTTTCAGAATGCAGTGGCACGACTGATCTTCCATGAGCTCAAGAGGGCCCACTTCACACCTTTTTTTTATCTCCCTGCACTGGCTACCGTTTGCGGCTCGTATCAAGTTCAAGACATTGATGTTTGCGTACAGAACAGCCACAGGCTCAGGCCTACTTCCTCCTCACTCTTACAAATCTACATTCCCTCCAGAAGCCTGAGAGAGATCTGTAAGCTATGCCTTGTGGTAACATCACAGAGAGGCATTTTCATTCACCTTTCCTGGCTGGTGAAATGATCTTCCCACAATTGCCGTAATTAACAGAACACCCGACACGTTATCTGACAGGAACACTAATTTAATCCCATACCTGACCCATTTGACATAAAAACTGGGGCCCGAACCACACCTGCATTAAATCTCCTACATGAGGTAGAAAGAACTCATTTATTAAAACTTTTATTCAAATCGTGAATAGATTAAATACAGAAAGCGAGCAAAGAGTGCTCCCTTTAATATAATCACTACAGTTGTCAATCAGTGGCAGCGCAATTGGCTACATTGCTCAGCGTGTACTTGACCGAGTCGAAATAGTCTTGTTTATTGGACCCGCAACCCGCCTGTGCTTGTCACTGTCAGGCCCGCTACCGCACCAAACCCTACACATAAATATTATTCCACCCGTTAAATCAAATATTAGCGATTCACCTGTGTGTACCCGCCTGCATGCAGTACTCTGGCTTCCCCCTTGTGGACAACATAAAATACAACTCTGGCCCCAGAGAGTGATTGTAAATTAAGTTTACACGAAATATGTTTGAAGTTTCTTTCTGCATCTTCTGAGATTTCATTGTAATCCTTCTCATAAAGTCACTGAATTAACCATTAACTGTTCATCTGATTGTGTTGCTATCTGCGTGTGATTTTAGAGCATTGTTGAGAGAGAACAAAATGTATTGGAAACACACTACCACCGACCTGACTCTGCCTGAGAGGTAAGGGAAAATACACTTACCTGAGATTTTTTTTTATATATATATCTGAATATATATGATAGTATTCTTGAAAACAACACGAGGTGTTTTTGCAATGGCTCCATTTCTGAAAATGTTTAGGGCCGCAAACTATACAAGTGTACCAAGTTTCATGCTTTTATGAAAAAGTGAACATTATTTTCACATATCACCTGGACTATAAAACAAATAAGGCAGTTTGAAGAAACACCCTTCATCAAAGTATGAAGTGCATGAGTTGGCAATCAACACTGTTGAAAGCCAAGAAGGATAATACAGTCAGTTATTTCCTTCAACTGTAAAACTTTAAATTAGTAGTGCTAATGGAGAGCTACAGGTTTTGTTGATGTACTTCATCTGGTGTGCAATATTTCACTAGTTTCATTTTTGCACAAACCAGACAGTAGACACCCATCAGGCAAAAATTGTAAATGTGCTATTGATGGAGACTGTGACTTATTGTAGTTTTATACTTACATTTACATTTAATCGTTTAGCAGACACTTTAATCCAAAGTGACTTATAAATGAGAACAATAAAAGCAATCAGACCAACGAGAGAACAACAACAGTATACAAGTGCCATGACAAGTCTCAGTTAGTCTAGCACAGTACACGTAGCTAGTTTTTTTTTATAATAGAATAGAACAGAACAGAACAGAATAGAATAGAATAGAATAGAATAGAATAGACAGTAACTCCTTTCTACTAAATATGACATCCCTCCAAATTTCCTCTCAAAAGGTTTTGTGTAATAGACTATTGATCATTGTTGACGTTGCCACTTTAATTTAATTTGACTGAATACGTTGTAATGCATTTTAACCCATTTGACTAGTCAAACTAGTCATAAAAAGTATCTTTCGTGAAAATTTTGCACACACTACAAGTCATATCTTCTGTGTGCTTGTCTTCTGTTCATGTCCTATAAGCACACTTTATTTGCTCTGCTACACTGACTCTTAACACCTTCAGTGTTAGTTCAGCCTGACTTTGGATTACTGAACCTCAACTACAAGTATTTTTTTTTTGTTTCCATCTGCTGGTTGAATTAAGTATTTTCAGTGTTTCAGCCCAAAGACATTCACTCAGCTTTGAAACTGACATATCATTAATTGTATAAACTGTTTGCACTAAAAAAAAAAAAAATAAAAAAATAAAATTTTTGCCATTTTTAAATCTCAAGTGACTAAGACAACAAATTAATTAAGAGCTTTCAAAAAATTATTGTAGTTAGAGGATAAATTACAATTTATTTGTTATAAAGGTAGCTATTAACTATCATCTGTCATTTGTCATGCAGCAAAATTTAAAAGTAGACTAAAATACACCTTACACTTATGTTTTGTATGCCTTACAATCAGACAAAAAATAGTGTTGCAAAAAGCACCATTAAGGAAAATAATAATAGGGCACTAGATCATGCAGTACAGCAGCTTTGTCCCGCTGAGTGCCCCAAAATGACATACTCCAGAATATTAAATTCACATTATCATCACATGCCAAATTCAGGATGACATCTCTTCTTATCTAGGCTATCAACCAGACTGATTTCGATCCTGTCTTCTGCATTCTGGTGGACATTGCATACCATCAATAACCCCTTCATAAACAGCAACTTAAATTTTAGTATGGCAAGCATTTACTCCTCAAATGTAACTAGTATATTTTATGTAACTTTTTTTTTTCTGAAACTTATTTTTGATCACTACTAGGAAATTATATAGTGACCATTACCTTTCTTTTTCTTTTACTAGTAAGTATTCATTAGATAATTTCCAATGGCAGTGTTTCTTAACTCCAGTACTGGGTACCCACCTACCAGAATGTTTAGATATCTCACTAATTAAAACACCTAATTTAAAGCATTGCTTTCTTAGTGTGTTGAATAGGTCGACATCTAAAACATACTGGGAGGTGGGATCCAAGGACTAGTGATGAGAAACACTGGTTTATAGCATAGTATAGTTTATAGTATGTATTCCAGTTCTAGTAGTTCTTATTTGTTAGATTATAGTACTTGTTTAAAGACACTAGTATTAATTTATTTATAACATTTTGTTATAACAACATTTTTTACCTGTCATATATAACGATTAGTCAGAATGGCTAGTTTAATCGAAATATTACTAATAAGATTAACAATATAAATAGAAATAATTGTACTACATGTACTACAACAATTCTAAAAATATATATAATAATAATACTAGTCTGAAAAATTGGGTACTAGTGTCTTATTGAGTACTAGGAAAACTGGAATCCTAAGAAATACTAGTAGGCTTAATAAGAAATAAATACTATATCAAATGAATAGTTAACAGTGAAATTCCACCAGTGAAACCCAACAATATATATAAAGGCAGTACCTGGTGGACAGTTGCATTCAGGTGGTGAGACTTGACGGGCAGTCCTTATTCTAACCAAGTGTTCATAAGAACGCTGTCAGAATCAATAGATAAAAGAAACAAGTAAACGTTTAGCCCTAAATGAATGTAGGTGACATGAAGGTGCACTGGCCACTGTCATACATGAGTGTGGAGTGTTTCGTATTTGTAAGAAAAGATGACAATGCTGTTAACTAAAATGTCTTGAGTTAAAGCTGTGGATGGAATACTCACCTGTGACAGCAGCTCGTCCAATCGCTCCTGGATCTTTGCATTAAATTGATCCATAGAGATCCCATGAAACGGGTTTAAGACCCCCGCGCCACTTCCAATCTCCAGATCCACGATTCTGTCCTTCATATCACTGGTCTGAACGCTCAGTAAAAAGCAAAAGGCGAAGGACACAAGAGAAAACACAAAAGGCATCACATCCACTGAAGCTCCAAGACAGTGCCGTCGCTTGCCACGATCGGTTTCGTTCTCCATTTTCGCCGCGTTTCGTGAATCCTTATTAGCTCCTAAAACCCTCATGACTACTATGTGCAATCACCAGTACTGCCGGGAGGAGAATGACCGAGTCTATGTATTATTTCAATTTGTCTCGGGGCGGTGCGCGCTCATGCACTGAAAGACAGTGTCAGCGGCGACTGGTTTCACGGCTTGCACTAGCCCTCTGCGAACTTGTTGCACTACTGCAAAGAATCCCATGCAAGCGTTTAGCCCAGCCTAAGTCTTACGACGAAGCCGTGACAGATTTTGTGGCAAGAAATGTTAAACCGCAGACGAGTGGCAAATGCTTTGCGCATTCCACACAATCCATTCAGCATAACGCATCTGAATCAACACGATCCATCAAAAACCTCTAGACCTCACAGAGTCACTCTTTAAATCACCAGCTGGGTCGCATTGATGTTTCTTGTAAGAGGTAGTAAGAGCGTATAAAATGTTTCAGTGGGATTTTCCATTGAACAATGGCGTTCATAATTATGCAGGAGAACTAGGGCATTGTGAGTAAATATATGAGGGACTGTTGTTGTTATTTTAGTTATGTGTCTTGTAATAAACTACATCGCCATATTTGCCTGATACATGTGAAAGCGGTTAAGAAACTATAGAACCACTACTACATTAACTAATGTAAATGATAATAATAATAATAATAATGTGAAGAACAGAGTCTATTGTAACCTTGATTGATTGATTGGAAACATGAACACTGTAAATTTTGTGCATGATATTATTGCAGTAATCAAATGTACTTGAACACTTACATTCCCCATCATCACTCTCATTTTAAAATAAAAACATAAATAACAAATAAAAATACACATCAGTATACATGTTATACACAGTGTTATACACAGACCGTCTTCTTCACAAACTCTGTGTGTTCTTTGAGAGTAGTAGAAGTTGGCTGCCATAGCATCTCTCCATCTGGGGCCTGTACCATGAAGTCGGATTAGCTGGCTAGCCAGGTACATTTTAGTTTAGTTTGCACCAATCCTGCAGGCACGTGTAGAGGGGGGTGCGATGGGTGCTTGAGCACCTGCCCCTTTTCCCCTTGATGCCCAAAGTGCCCTTTTGTCAAGACAATTTTTTTTTGTAATTAAACGCCATTTTGTGAAGGCCTGACCAATCTAACTATTAGTAAAATTAATGAATAATAATTTAGCCGTAAATAAAATTATCCACATAATTATGACCTTTCACCTGACGATCTCATCCGGGACAATCCCTTACATTCAGACACCTTTAATTTAGCACACTACCAGGATGCCTTCATAACGTCCGTGGCTGCCAGTAAGTGCAGTTCTCAGCGGAGCGGTGTGCTTGTATTCTTATATTATTAAATTATTATTATTTTAAAAGAACGGCGTGAAGAGAGCATGCACAGATGTTGTTTATATTGCTGTTTGTAGCCTGTGGAAGTAAGGTTAGCTGCAGCAAGGGGCTATAATATTTTTGTTCCATATTTTCCTAATGACAATTTTATGATCGGTTTATAAAGGCTACTACTAGCACCTTTCCCCATTTTTATCACAGAATAAGGCAGGAAATATATTTTATAGTTTCTATAGGCTACTAAATTATATGTCAATCAGTACTGCATTATTCATATAGTTTATTTATTACCTGGAGATAACTTGAAAAACACACATAAACTGTATATATTTTCGCAGTCGTGTGTTTATTGTCTTCACGTTTTTTCTGCTTTTTATTCAGCTCATCTACAGCTATAGCAGGATGCTTTTGTCCATATTAGGGATTTCCTGCACATCATAAGTGATTCCTTCTATGAGTCTGTTTTGGACTTTCTTCACGAGCGTCCTCCTGCTTCGAGTATAAATTAAACACACACCGCATCCAGATATTCACTTCTCATTTGGATACGAATAAAACGTCAGGTCATGCATAGACTATCAATACGGTCTCTTTGAATTTAAATCTAGATTTAAATCTAGAAACCTCTACGTGAACACACCTGCCCGAATAAACTGCAGGGGACGAATTTACAATTCATTAAAATTAAATATTAAAAAAGCAGCTAACGTTCTACACACAGTAATATAAACAAAGGTGCCTGTTCTCTTTCGTTCTTGCTGTTGGATTGGGAAAAGTTTAAAGGGTGTCAAGGGGTCTTGTCTTTATGTTGTCTGACTAAAAGCTATTACTTTGAACTCTTATTATTACAGTATTTATTTTAAAAACGTAGAGTGCCTTAAAAATTAAAAAACGTAGAGTGCCTTAAAAATTATTTTCACAACACTGATAAAACAGGCGTATACTGATTTTCTCATCCTCCGATTTATACTTATCAATCCTGTTTTTATTATCATTATTATTCAAAAAATGAAAAAATTCAGAACAGGATTAGAATTCTATTTTAAATAAGACAGGAAATATTTTTTTTCTACAACAACAACAGTAGTGTTTACAACAGCAAAACCACCATACCCTGTAAGCTCAATAATAATAATAATAATAATAGTCCTAATATAATTCCGCTTCTAATTCCAGAGTGATTAGAAGCATCCGTTTCGATACATGTCTCAGCAAGTAGTACAGCCCTATTAAAAGCCGTGCTCCATGTGCCCCTTTTATACTTTGAGCACCTGCCCCTCCAAAGGTCTCTGCAC